AAAAAATCATGTTAAGTTAATTAAGCCAGGCCTGCTCCCCAAAAATAGGTCCCATGGTTTCCCTTATTTGTAATAAATGATATACATTTAGGATAATCTTTGCAGATGAGCATAATACCTCAATAGCTATGTATGTATGATCATATACGATGATGCTATGTCAAAAAGCAAACTTTACAACTTTGGTGGTGGGGGCGGGGTGGGGGGGAGATGGGAAGGGATGGGAAGAGGAAACAAAGGAGGAGGCAACAATGCTTGATTAGAAATGTACTCATTATCTTGTCCATGTAATTGTAACTGCTCTGTATGGTATTTTCACGATTGAAAAAGAAAAGAAAAGATAACCATTGAAAAATAAATAAATAAGATGATGCTAAGTGAAATGAACTCCAAGAACTGGACACAGAACTGGTCCAGTTGTTTTCTGGACCATGTTAAGATAGTGCTTCCCTTTTTTAGTTACATACATTCTTAGCCTGTTTATTAAATATCATATTTTAAGTAGCAACACATAATAGCATAGCAAATACAAAACAGTATCACACTAAATATTTTAAATCAGAATGTATTTTCTTATTTAATTTTTAAATTGGAAATATGACTTAGATTCTTAAACAGACTGTTTACCCATTCTAGAACTGTGAAACACATGAACGACTATAGCCATAGTTCAAAACTTGACACCACCCTACTCCCCTTGTGACCTTAGACAAATCCTTAATTTCTGTGAGCCACACTTTCATCTTCTGCAAGCCTGTAAATGTAATCAGACTTAGCTAAGGGGATACCTTGGAGATAAAACATGAAGAGATTGTTTTAATTCAAAAGATTGTTTCGACATATCTACTTTTCTAACATTCTGGTCTTCAATGTGATCATAAGTCCTTGCCTATAAAGATGGAAATTCTAATTCTTCTCACTTTGGAAGTTAGCAATGACTGTAATTGTATAGAAGGAAACATGGTATGACTTCCAAAACCAGTTTCCAAAAAGCTCTTTTGTGCTTGTGGAGTCTGATTGTGCTAAAATGTTCCCTCTGGAGGTAGCGGTTGATATAGACATACAGACAATGCTGAGAAAGTCTCGCTGCAGAGACTCCGTGGAGTTGTGCCAATGGAAAACACCAACTGAGCCCACTGTACACCATCAACACTGGCAAACAGCCACTTCTGAGATGTCTTTCCTCTCAGGCTTCTGAATCTCTCTGCACTGTAACTACAGGAAATATTTAAGAACAGCCAGAGTAGAGTCACTAAGTAATGCTTACTGAGCAGGTCTTAAATCAAATTTATGATCCACAAAATCATATTGAAAAGAATATGGATGTTTTCTTGCACAATTTCTTAGAGTGACTTACTATGCAACAAAAATACTTGCAATAAATTGGGATAATTTTGTTTGGTGATTACTAAAATGGCATTAGCATAAATTTTGTTGGGCAGCTACTAATCCTCATGAACTTGTAATAATTATACAAAGGAAAGGAAGCTACTGCATCATACTGGATTGGCCAACTGTATTCCTGCTTCCTTGATGGAAGTAAAAGGAAATCAAATCTATAACCATAGAGGAATATGTCTTTCCTAAGCCTCTCTACCCTTTTTTCTCTTCTCAAAAAAGTCCTTCCATAAACACTAGTTCTCCATTGCTCAATCTGTGGTGGTAACCATTATATATTTTCCCCATAAGTGAATATTCTTCATTTCTAGAACATTCTATTGTATGAACTAGATACCATAGGATATTGTACCATTTAGTTACTGCGTCTTATAAAGTAATGGTGTTAGTTTATAATGTTACTTTTAAAAGGTTTGTCATGTTGCTAAATCAAATTAACAGTCTGAATGTCAGGATATTAAAGGTATTTTACCTACACATTTGTAATTCCATGAAAGCTTTAACTAGTTTCTTCATGAGAATAAGTATAATTTCATTTAACTTCCAAAGCCACTGTCAGGATTTTAAATAATTGTTAAGGACATTTTTCTGCTAAAAAGAATTAGATTTAAGAGATACTTTCCAAACTGTGAAATTAAATCTATCTAGAGCACTTCAAGTTGTGATCATATTAAGAATATTCCTAGTTAATCAATCAATCAATCTCAGGGGTAAAAATGTAGAAACTTATTTGTACCAGAAAGCTATGTCAGTATAATCTGTGCTAGATATTATTTAATTAAACCTCAGTTATCAGATATTATGCCATCTATTAATTAGTACATCAAATTTATTCAGAAGAGAAAGATACACAATAAATAAGGAAGAGTATTATAAAGAATAACAACAAGAAACTGTGCTTCAAAATGTATAGAAATGATCAAGATGATAATGTTTTGAATAGCTACCTTACACTTTATATGTTTTGTAACATGCCCTTCATTTTTCTTCTAATTACAAGAAATAAGAGTTATAAACATTTTAAATATGAAGAAATTTTATTGAAAGGTTCAAATAACGTTATTAAAACTGAAAAATTAAAATGGGAAATTTGAAATTCAAAACAAGATTTTCAACTTCCAAATTCAGTATAATATTATACTTTTGAAATTTATTGTTGAAGAAATAAAGAATACTAAAAGAGTATTATTGTTATTAAGATATTAGCCAGAGATTATTAAAATATCATTGGGTAATTTTCACGATAGAAACTCCATTTTGGGCTGGGAAGGTGACTCAGTGGTAGAGCGCTTGCCTTGCATGCATGAGGCCCTGGGTTCTATTCCTCAGCACCACATAAGCAAAAAGAAAAAAGCCAGAAGTGGCGCTGTGGCTCAAGTGGTACAGCGCTAGCCTTGAGCTGAGAGACAGCACCCAGGCCCAGAGTTCAGGCCCCACGACCAGACCTCCCCCTCCTAAAAAAAATTAGAAAGTCCATTTTTTAGTTTATCCACTAGAAATAAATTGTTTTAATTTTCTTTATCCTCTGAATAAATCTGAATAAAATTTCTCTTACTTTTTATGATTGAATTTCAAAATATACAAGAAGATAAAACATTTAAATATACAGATTATTTAATAGAGTAAATCCTGATAACTATTAAAAATCTCACATGTGGTATGGGATAGCCTAGGGTACAGCTCTAAGAATATATGTGTGTGTATGTGTGCGTGTGTGAATGTGTGTATGTGTGTTTACAGCTTGTGGTTAACCACATTTTAATGATAAAATAAAACTGGTATGTAGCTCATTCTCAGTATGTACATATAGAAATAACAATAAAAATAAAGATAATTTTAAGGACACTACTTTTAGGAATTTTAAGGTAGACAGAAAAACAGAAAAGCAGAAAAATGTATACTGCGTATGTGAAAGTTCAGTTAATAAGAGCTAAGGGCATGAAATAATCATGCCAGAATAATCTTATCCATGAAAATATTCAAAATTGAAATAATAAAGCAATTCCCTACAGTATTAGATATCACACTACATTTTCATTGTTACAAAAAATTAACACTTTTCAGAATAGACACATGCCACATAAATGGCTACAATTTTCTGTTAACTCAATAATATTTCTTCTTATTACCACAATTCTAAGACTGCATTCACATTTTATAATTTTGTTTTTTCAAATCAAAGTTATAAAATATGTGTGTCAAAAGAGTGTACCTACAACCCACTGCCATAAACATTCCATCATGGGGAGGAAATGGGGCAGAAAAAGGTGACATTTATGAGAACTCAACAGTCCAATAAGTAAAAGACAAGAGAGTACCTCAGATTGATGAAAACTTTAACACTGACAAAAATCATCTTAATTCTTATTTCTTCTATCTTTATTTTAGTGAATTATTGATTTCATCTTTTCATTCCATCACAACCTTCTTTCTCTCTTTCATTCCAGTGAATTTGTGGCAATGTTTAACCAATTTCTAAAATAGTTGAAAGCATTTTCTGTATGTGTATGTGTGTTTGTGTGTATGTGTGTGTACACGCATGCACGTGCACGCACTGGTCTGTCCTGGGAAGGCTGCCTGTTTCTGAGTGTTTCTTTTCTTTTTCTTTTTTTTTTTTTTTTTTAGTCTCCTGAACTTTCTGGCCCCAGCTGGCTTGGAACTGTGATCCTCATATTGCCAACTGTTGAGTAGCTAGTACTATAGGAGTGTGCCACCGATGACCAGTTAGTTGATTTTTGTCAAAAAAATAATGCTGTTTATAATTATTTCTTTATTGCACTGCATTATAGTATATTTATGTACTACATACTCTTTTTTATTTGGTTCTATTCTATATATTATATAGCTCAAATTAGTTTTGCTTTAATATACACAGATAGAGTAGAAATTTAAAATATTGTATAGATTGAATGTAAAGATTGAATGTATACCAACAGTCATGGAAATGACTTAATGAATAATTTTGAAAAACTCTAAGACATTTAATTTATTCAAAACACTTTTAAAATGCTACATCTTGACTCATTTTTGTTCTCTAATGTTATTTTCAGACTAACTCTGTGGTAGAGAAAACATTCCAATTAATTTAACTATTTAACTGAATTTATGGGTAACTCAGTAAGTTCATGGCTCATGAAATTTTGTAACCTTAAAAACTCAGCTGGTAAAAACAAAAGGTATAGAAATAAAAAAAAAGAGACAAAGTGGGAAAAAGAAAAAAAGACACAAAGTATAGAAAAATACAATCACTTGCTTCCATTTCCTGGAGTTCATTTCCATAAACATCACTTTTATCTTGTATGTAAGTTTATCTGATTTGGGAAGGGGAAGGGGAAGCAAGAAATGGTAGGACCAAAGGTGAACTAATTCACCAGTGATCCTCCCTAGACACTATGTTTAAAATAAACTATAAACTCTGGGGGAGAGGTTAAAGGGTAGGAGTGGAAATGTTGGGAGAAAATGAGGTGGGTCTAACACTGTTCAAAGAGATATGTATTCAGTACCTCACTTATGTAACTGCAACCTCTTTGTTCATCACCTTTATAATAAAAGTTGAATAAAACCACTCAACTAGATCACTGTATATTTTGAGTCACTGTTACCTTATCGCCTTCAGAAAACATGACGCCATCTATAGCTCTTTTCCAAGTGATTTCTGGAATAGGTTCCCCTTCAGCTTCACAGATGAGTGTGACATGACCATTCTCAGATGTAGTCTCATTTTTAAGTTGTATGATATGAGGCTGTACTGTAGAAAATGTATATATTACTGAATCGGCATTAGAGAACAATGTTCAGACTTTAAAACCCACAGGGGATATGAAGCCACATTAGTGCAGAATGAAAGGAGTAACTTAGGAGCAGTTGTAGTAACATGCTTTGATTGCTAGAGTACCAAGGGTGTTGCAAAAAGAATGAGAAAAACAGCTTTAGGAAGTTACGTTCCTCCACTCTCATTAGAATAACAAGGTGATGAATTAGAAATCAATTTACAAGAATAATTCCTGTCAATATTTACCAAATTTTAAATCTGCAGTAATTCATTGTGCTCTTAAAAGCACAAAATTACAATTTCCTGCTTTAAACCATATATTTATGAATATATGTGCGTATGTACATCTATATCAAGAATACAATGTACCTGCATCTAACTCTTCCCTCAGTCTTCCTCATGTCTTTTCCACTTGATAAATCAATCTCAATAAGCTTCAATACTACATTCCCACTAAGAACATAAAATATTTTGTCCATAACATCCTTCCGTACCCTTTCTGTCCCTCATCAATCTCACCATGACTTGTTTTCAAGCCTGTCATTCATTTTTTAATATACCCTAATTAGAAAAATGATTCATCATGGTATTTCACATACACATGTACAGTATTGTAAATAGATTGACCCCCTGATTTACTCTTCATTTCCTCTCTCCACTTTCCCCTATTGTTCAACGGCTTTCATTATAAAATGTTAATTCACAGATGCAATTCATTTTCTTATTGTTTATCCTATATCATTTCCTCCCCATCTAGCTACTCAAATTGTCCCACAAATATCATCCTGTTGTAGATATTTATATGTACAGATCTTGTGTAGGTTTATATATTTATTTATCTTTGCTATCTAGCATCTACATAGGAAAAAAGGTATGACACATTTGGTCTAACAGTGTAGTTTTAACCACTATGCTATAATACTTACCAAAGACTTGGAGGAATGCTTGCTTTTCATCTTCTCCTGCCTTGTTAGTGGCTCTGCAGACATAAGGGCCTGCATCACTGTTGATTATGTTCCTGACGGTGAGTTCTGTGTTGCTTGCTTTCAATAAGTACTTTTCATTTTCTTCAATGAGCCTACCATTCCTAAATAAGAAAAATAAAAATAAAAAAGAAAGGTTGATTTTTGTAAAGTTGACCACAATTAAGAAGACTTTTTTGTTTATAGGCTAGCCATTTGTATTGAGAGACAATCAAATGTGTATGTGGGTACACATGTATTATTAGTGTCATTTTTGGTGAAAATAGGGCTTATTGGAACTCCTCCTATTTGCAAAGCAAGTTCTCTAACACGAGCCTCACTTCCAATTCTGTTTGGGTTTTTGTTTTTATTGTGATGGTAAAAGTTTTCAGTTATTATTTTAGATAAGAATCTTGAAATGTTATCTGGGACGATCTAGGACAACAATTCTGCCACCTGTACCTCTTCATAGCTGGCTTGCAGATATGAAGCACCATGACCAGCTCATTTCTTTTTTGAAATGGTATCTTGTTAGCGTGTTTTCCTAGCTGGCCTCTAACTATGATCTTCTTTTCTTTGTCTCCTATTGTAAACAATTGAGTTTTAAAATGTCATTTTGATATCTGACCATCAATAGAATTCATCAAATTAATGAAATATTAATACAAACACACTGGGTATTTCAGTTGAGACAAAAGAAGATGGAACAGAAATCAAGGGAAAAATTATGGAGAATCACTGTCTTTGCTCACGCCTTGATAGACATGTCATTAAGTGTTTTTGGTTTCTTTGTGAAATATTCTTTAATACACAGGCTTGAGTCTTTTATTGTGAAACTTCTGTAAGCAATGAGCTCCTAACTTCCAAGAAGGAATTCTTATTTGGCAGTAAAATGAGGACAGTCACATGCATGAGGCCTTCATCTGATGATACCTCTGCTCTGAAATGAGACAGGAGAGATATGTAGGATCCCCTTCATCCACCTATAGGCCTGGAGGGGACTGAATATGAAAATGTCCTCCTGTGGAGCCAAGGAAGAGAGGCTTTATCAAAAACCAGCCTGAAAATGGTGCCATGACTTTGGACATCTAGGCTTCAGAATCATGGAGGCATATATTTCTGGTGTTAAAGTCACACAGTCTTAACTACTTTATGATGGAAACCTAAGGTTATGGACGCAATGGGCTTCATTGCTATTACTTGGAAACATTATCCCTTTTCATCATGTAATCTGGATCCCACTAGTAATCTCACTGCTTGTTCCACAATCCTTGGTGTTGAAAGGATTTTTTAAAATATACTAATGATATACATTCACCTAGAGATACATGAAGTATACATGAAGTATAAAGTAATATTTATATCTGTAAATGTCAATATTTTATTCCCCTAATACATAGTTATATTGATTCTAAAATAACTATTTAAGCTTAAAACAAAATTTCATTCTATTTCAACCAGGAGATAAAAACAATGGAACAATTGAAAATGAAAAATGGAAAATATGTACATGGACGTTTACAAATATTAATTACCATTACATTTTCTTCTGAATGTGGTTTATTCTAACCCTTATATTCTCATTGAAAAGAGAGAAAATTTAAACAAATCTTAAATTTGAAATAAACATAAGTGGAAAGTAAGTATTGCAGAAAATATCATCAGGAAAAATTTTTAGAACAACCAGGTACTGGTGGCTTACACCTGCAATCAGAGCTACTCAGGAGGCTAATATCTGAAACCATGGTTCAAAGTCAGCCTAGTTAGAAAAGTCCAAGAGACTGTTATCTTCAATTAATCACCAAAAACCTAGAAGCAAAATCTTGACTCATGAAAGAAGTAGAGTACTTATCTTGAGCAGAAAAGCTCAGGAACATTGTCCAACCTTAGTTCAAGTTCCAGGACCAGCTGATAGATACATACATACATACATACATACATACATACATACATACATACTTACATACATAGATTGATTGATAGGCAGACAGATAAATTATTGTGTTTCTTTGGGTCTGGCTTACTTCACTGAATATATTTTTTCCAAGACTTTTCATTAATGAATGGGACAATGCCATTCTTTCTGATGGAAGCACAGAATTCCTTTGTGTGTAATACCATATTTTCTTAATCCATTCATCCATTGAGGGGGATCTGGGTTTATTCCATATTTTGGCTATGGTAAACAACGATGCAATGAACATGATTGTGACAGTAGCATTAGTGTGGGCTGATTTGTAGTCATTTGGGTAAATGTCCAGGAGTGGGATTACTGGATCATAGGGAAGCTCTTATGCTTGTAGTCTTTTTTTATATGTTTTTATTGCAAAAATACTGTACAGAGGGGTTACAATCACATGAGCAAGGTAATGAGTACATTTCTTATCAAGCATTGTTGCCTTCTCTTTGGTTTTCCCATCCCTTCCCTCCCATCTCCAAAACTACATTCCCACGTCCTGCCCCCACAACCATGCCTAAATTGTAAAGTTCATTTTTCGACATAGCATCTTGTACATCTCCTTGTTGCAATGGGTCAACTGTATCCCTATTTAAACAATTTGGTTTTTCCCTTCCCCTCCCTAAATTATACCAACATCAAATACAGTAAAAACAGGGGTTGTACCGTGGGGGAGGGAGATACAAAGCAATTAAAAAAACCATCTGGTACATTATAAATATGTTAGAAACAATAGCAAGAAAGAAAAATCACGTGTGTTGTTAGGAAATGGAAAGACTTGGAAAAAATTGTATTAAGTGAAGTAAGCCAGGCCCTAAGATACATAGGTCCCATGGTTTCCCGTATTTGTAATAACTAGTATATGTCTGAGACAAGCAGAAAAGGTCAGAAAAGATAATGTTAAGCGAAATGAGCCCCAAGATAAGGACACAAGTGTTTATAGTCTTTTGAGGAGCCTCCATATTGCTTTCCAAAATGGTTGAATAAGTTTACATTCCCATCAACAGGGTAGGAACATTGCTGTCTTTTTCTTTCCCAAAGTATTGAGCCCGAAGCTTATTCTGTGAGCATGATTATGATCACAAGCCAGAAGACATGGTGATCGGACCTACCTAGACCAGGAGATGGTAGGTTCTGGAGATCCTGAAGCCCTGCAAGATAAAGTCATCTCTTCTCCTCTCTCAGCTGTGGCATTGAAAGACTTCTGAGGCATGGTGATTGCTGGCGGTACTGAAGGATAAATGGACATAGCGTGAAAAGATCTGGCATTTCTCTCACAATTTTGATATATCTCTTGTCCATTTTTAAAAATTCTTAAGCTTTAAAATTAGGTAGCTACTTTCCTGTTAAATAGTAAAAGAGTAGTAAAATAACTTTATGAATACTAAAAAATACTCTTCATATCCTTCTTTTGTACAATAGCTGGAACAAAACATTGCAATGCTCTTTCACTATTTAGTATATGAAAATAAACAATGAACCTGGATTTTAACAAACATATACTTGTATGAAATATATCTCATAAAAAGACAGCACCACACTGACTAAGTCAATACTAGATCTACGTTAGCCATAAATGGATTTCCTATTTGGGAACTCTCAGTTATAGGCAATGCCATAAGCAATCATTCACTGCTTCAAGACAGGGCTTTCAAATTAGGTGTCAAACCATAATGTTCTTTCTGATTAACTACACTTAATTTCTTCAAACAACTATAAAACATTTTATGAAGAGAAACTGCTTAAGCCATAGAGAGTATATGAAAATAGATTTTCATGAACAATTCAGCTTGGAAATTAAGCTTCCTCAATTTCTAACTAATTATGTTGTGAAAATTGTATATGCTGCACATTTTGGACATGTTGAAACTGTTACAGAAATGCAACTGCTTCCAATAAACAAGACATTAACATCCATAACAGAATGTAAATTTCAAAGTTAAGCATAAATTGTGATTCAGTGCACTGAATATGACAAAAATCAAAAAATTAATTATATTATTATTTTGCGTTTGCATATTCTAAACAACATGGCCAGACAGACACTTAGAAGTATGGTTACAATTACATCTACCTCCAATTGCTTTCAGGTCAGTATTGGTGCCATATTATCCAAAGATAATGGGCATAAGAACTAATATGTTGTGTATTTTAGTAATTAAACACAATAAATCAGTTCCCTGACTTTGAATTTGATATAGGGAGGACGATCTGTCATTCTGTCTTTGAGATAACATAATAATTACTGGCATTAGAAAAGATGGATGTTTGTTTCAGGTATTAACTTGGAATATTAAGTACATTGTCATTTGACTGCTATTTTCCTTCTCATGTAATTATGAAAAAATATAATTTAATGGAAGTGCATTGCTTCACCTTTTTGTTATTTGGAAATGCAGTTGGAAGGATTTTGTAATTATTTTTATTGTAACAACAGGATTTTTAACGTTAGAATTGCAATAATGTGAATTTGTGTGTGTATATATATTATTGTTATTGTAACTGTAAAGGTGATGTACAGAGGAGTTTCAGTTACCGAAGTCAGGTATTGAGTACATTTATTTTTGAACAGTGTCACCTTTTCCCTCGTTTTCTCCGAGTTTTTTCCCTCCTAACCTAGCTCCTCTACAAGTTGTCTAGTTTATTTTCAACATAGTGTCTTGTGAGCATCGCGGCTCATCACCCTTATCACGTTCTACCTATGGTTAAGCATTTGTAATGAGAATCACTTCTAAGACAGAAATGAAGTGTTGCGGGTCTTGTTTACTAAATGAAATTTGTTCATCAAAATTTTCTCATCAAAATTGCTCTAGTTTCCTGATTTTCACTTTGTTGGACTGTGAAATGGTTTTTCTAAGGAATTACACTGAATTCTCCCCTGAAGATACCTTACTTTAGTTAAGACTAACACTGAAAGGTGAGGAGGGGAGGTCAAAGAGAGAGGGTCCATGGATGAAGAGGATGAATATGTGTAGGAAATGCATAGTCTATGAAAATGTTAAACTGAAGTGAATGGGCTGGATTGGGGAGGATGGAGGAGAATGATGAATGTTGTGACATCAATCGAGAATTCATCTTCAGTGGTAACTACTTTGAGGGGTTTGTTACCTCCTGTTTTAGACTGTTTAGTTCAGTGAGCCATATTAGATTATCTTTAATGAATTATGTAGATTTTTTTCTTTTTTATCTCTAAATAGTTATACAGTGTAGTTGTCATTTAACAATGCCATTTATGAATACAATTGTGATCAATTTCACATTTGGCTGTATCTGACATATCAAACTTATCCTTTTTCTGGCTGTCAGTTTGGGCATCAAAGATACTACAGATTTCACATTTGGATTGTTCTGTGGGTCCCTTTGGGTCCATAAAGGAACCAAATTTTTTCTCACTTTTCATGTGTTCTGTAAGAATTTAATCATTTCCCACCAAACATGTCTCAGAAATGATGAATATAATGCTAACAATGGATAGTTATTTAAGTTTCAGATCTTGTAGGTTCATTAGAAGCAGAAACAATTCACTCCTTCAAATTTGTTTCAGATAAAGATAACTCTGTTTTATCACTCCCCAAAGATCCACTTTGACAAGTTATTTGCTAGGTAGGTGTAACTAGATATGAAAAATAAGTCATGTAGATATTTTATCTATCTGATGATTGCCAAAATTATGACCCTTGTTATTATCCCTTTGTTTGTACATCTCAGTCATTTTAACAATTGGACATATGAGATTAAAGTACCTGTACTCCTGACATCTAGTATTGATTTTCTCAGTATTTATGCAAAGGAACATAGGTTTTTTTTCTTTTAGGTCTACATAAGTTCATTTACTCAGGATTCCATGCATTATTTATAAATATTGATGATAAAAAAGTGAAATGAGTCAAAAATAGCATTTGCAAGTGTTTTTCCTATTCTTCATGGATGGTATAAAACTAGATTTTTTTAGTTCATTAGTATGAATCCATTACATAAAGAAATTCAAATGGGATATTTATACCCATGTATATAATGTACTTTGTTCAAATACTTCCCTTATGTGTTATTGTTTCTTGACCTTCCTTTTTTTTGGGGGGGGGGTCGGTCGTGGGGCTTAAACTCTGGGCCTGGGTGCTGTCCTTCAGCTCTTCAGCTCAAAGCTAGCGTTCTACCACTTAAGCCACAGCACTACTTGGGGCTTTTTTTTTTTTCTTTTTATGTGGTGTTGAGGAATCAAACCCAGGGCTTTATGCATGAGAGGCAAGCACTCTACCATGGAGGCAGCTTCCCAGTTCTTTTGACTCTCCTTTTAAGAAAAAAACACGTTCTTTTAAGAATTTTAGTGGGTTTCATGACTTTATTTTATGTACTTCTATAATAGCTATGCTAGGACATTTTCTCCTTCTCCTAACCCACTGATTCCCAAAATATATACTATACATAATCATTTAATACTTGATTATTATTTTAAGTTATTGCATAGATGTAGATCCTGTATGTTAGTATATTGACATGATGGTTTTCACTTCCATACATGTTTCTGCAAGTGATTTTTGAGTGAATAATACTGTACTCTGTCTTTTAAACTCAATAAACATGTTTTTTGACTTAACCCAGTATTGGTTATCAGGATCTATAGCATTTTTAATTTCTTGAGAAATCTTCATCTTCAATCATGATTAGGATACTTTAAATATTCACTAAATGTGCATGATGGTTTTTTTTCCTATATCTTCAGGCCAGCATTTGTTATTTGTTTTCTTGATAACCACCATTCTAAGATTGGTCATATGGAAACTGTTGTTTTGATTTACATTTCCTTCATGGCTACAGTGGTGGTGAGCATTTTTTCACATATTTACTAACAAATTATATTCCTTTTTCTGAGAATTTTCTATACAGTTTACTTACCCATTCATAAATTGGACTAATTGTTTTTGCTATTTGCATTCTTTAGCTATTTGTGCATAATATATACTAATCCTTTATTAAATAGCTTAAGAAGATTTTCTCCTATTTTGTAAGCTATTCCTTGATTCTGTTCCTTGTTTCTTCTAATATGCTGAAACATTTTAATTTGAGGTAATTTTCCATTCTTGCACTAATTTTTGAAATTATTGGTATGTCATTCAGTAAGTTGTGTATATACATTTTCTAGTATTTTGCACATAATTTCATAAGTAGTTCCAAAGATTCAGGTTACATTAAAATTTTAAATTTATTTAATACAGGGCAAGAGATAGGAGTCTGGTTTTAGTGTTTTGCATGAGGACTTTCAGTTACAGAGATAAGTCTATAAAAAGTATTGGGATGGAGCTGAGTTCTGGTGGCTCATGGCTGTAATCCTAGCTTCTCAGGAGACTGAACTCTCAAGATCATAGTTCAAAGTCAGCCCTCGGAAAGAAAGTTTATGAGACTCTTAGCCCAAATTAACCAACAGAAAATCAGAAGTTGTGCTGTGGTACATGCTAGCCTTAAGTAAAAGAGTTCAGGGACAGCATTCAGGCCCTGAATTCAAGTCCCGTGACCAACTAAAACACACACATACACAAATCCCCAAAACAAAATACTCTGGAGAGGGTAGGTGAGATGCTCATATCAATGCACACAAGAACATAACAAAACTGTCAACAGACATTTTTCCATTCATAAAAAATAACTTGTTTTGAAATGCAACTGACCATGTAACTTGCTCTGGCCAATGGCACAGCAGCATGCATAAGCATAAACAGTAGCTTAAACTATCTTCAAGGTACCTGAGATACTCACCGGTCCTGAAATTGCATATGCATATGAGATAGGAAACAACTTCCAAACCTCAGATTTTGAAAAATGTTTCATTTTGTAGTCATTATATATCTACAAGTATCTTCAGATTAGCTGTAAGTCTACTTGTCCCGACTTAAATATGATGCCTCAGATGAAGAATTCCTTACTTGAGAAACAAAGTTTCAAGGCAGAAAGAAAGACAAGAAGGAGTTGGATGGGAAGAATAGTGGAGTAATATTGATCAAGATGTATTACCCATATATTTTAGGTTGAAATGAATTCTCATTAACTAAAGATCATAAAATGGATTTTAAGAAGAAGATGAGAATGTGAAGAAACATTCCATGTACTTGAGGAAGGTAATTTCAGCTACTGCAATATATTATGCTTTCTCCTATGCCATTGGTCAGAGCAAGTCACATGGTCAATTGCATTGGAAAACAGCTCTCATTTGGAAGCTTCATAATAAAACATGCCAATGAGAAATTCTGTTGTAATACTTCCCTATGGAAGAGAAAGAGTTGTCAGTGAAAAACTGTACATAGTTTGTGATGTAGGTTAAGAAATTCATAAAGAGATTTTGAACAGAATAAGTTATTTAAAATGCAGTGTGGCTGGTACTTCAGAGGAAACTAGCAAGATGGTTTTCAAATAAACATTGAAATAAAGGGCATGTTTACAAAAAATAAACATGAAAATAGATAAAATCAAGGTTTAAAGAAACAAGATTTAATAAAGAAGCAAAGCATATGAAGAGAGAGTTAGTTTTAGTATTTTGTTGGGATTTTTGTGAACTTGTGGGGAAAGAGACTGAAAGGCAAGGAGAAAGGCTTGTATAAGATAGCAGTACTCAAAAGACTGGGCTTGGAATATTACGGAGAGTAAAGACATGGAACAAGCATCAAAATTTAAACTGAGACAGACAATAATGTTTTAAAGTTGTACTTGCATTACAGTCTCAAAGTTTTCAGTGAAAAATCTTTATGAGATTTTATCCGAGAAGCATTCTAAGGGAAACTTGTGCAAGAATCTTAGTATTTACTAGAAACCAATGCACAGAAAAAAAGTCAGCAAGACTGGAATAGAATGATTTTTTTTTCCTGGTTGAAGTCAAATCAAATTCTAAGAGAAAAATCATAGCTGTCTGGGGTGCAGAGCCAAAGAATTCCCATGACAAGCCATCCTCCATTTTGTGCACAGTTAATTTTTTTTCCTTTTTCTTTTTCTTTTTTGTCAGTGATGGGGCTTGAACTCTGGGCCTGAGTGCTATCCCTGAGCTCCTCAGCTCCAGGAAAGTGCTCGACCACTTGAGCCAGAGTGCCACACTTCCAACACACTGTTATTTTGAAAAAAAGACATTTTTGGTATCTGAAGGTATGAGAGTGTGTGAGCCTAAGCAGAAAATGTAGCTAGTTAGCATTGTCTTAAACACTGAATGTCAGGTAGGTAGGTTATGATCTGTGGATTAATCTCTTGGAGAAAAGTTCCCATGACATACTGACTGATACACTGGTAAAAGTGTGCATTAACTACATGATATTTTCAGTGGCATAGAATATGATGTTCCAATATTTATCCTTTTTGTAAATTATAGGTTAATATAAAAACATAGAACCAAATATTCTGGTTTGAATGCAAACCATGCTGGATTTGAAGATTCCAGCTTTGTTATTCAGACCCAAGTGCACCTTCCATCAAAATCATTAATACAAACCCCTACAGATTAAATTCAAATTGATTAGGATATGAAATGAATGTAATAAATAATTATGAAAACAAAAATGATGACTGCAGATGACTATGAATGAGGATGAATATGGTCAAAGAAGTTCATTTGCATGTATGACAATAGAACAATGAAACTAGCTGCAAATGTTTTAAGTGAGAATGCAGTAAGAGAGAGAGATGGCAGGGGTTAAGTTTGACCTGGTACTTTGTGTGCATGTTTGTAATGTCACAATGAATCACTCATGTAAATTTGCTTAATGCTAATAAAAATAGAAATTCTATCAGAAGAGATCATGAAGAACCATAATACTATGCTTTTCAAGTGACATTTTCATTTAAGTATATTTGAATTATTATTCACTGTAAAATATATATGATTACATATGCATGTTTATGCAGTAACATAAATGGCAAAAGTACATACATACCTAATACTAGTGCTTATATATTTAGCAATTTTTAAAGAGCTTTGTACCTATTCATGGTATTGTAATCCATATGCTTGTAAGAGAATACTTTGTGCAAAAACTTGACCATGATGAATTTTAATTATATGTTTCCATAAGTATGTTATAAAACAAAGCATGGAGAACAGCTGGACTATTAATAACGTAGTTACTGTATATTGCCTTTGATTAATGTAAAATAATAAAATAATAAAGATATGGGTTATATTCAGTTTGATGTATCAGTTTATTGATAGACATACATATGAACACAAATGTAGAGGAATTAATATTTAAACATGTCCTCTGTGTACTGAAATCTCTCCACATGAAGGTCAAATCATCCAACAACTAAGAAAAACATAACTGCCAGACTGTAAAGTGCCAAAAGGGCTTCTGCAGCCTAGATCATCATGAAGTCTGTGACTTCCACAAGGCTGAAACATAGGTCTCCATGGCAAGGTAATAAGCCAATTACAAAGTCTTCTTGTGCCCAGAAAGAACTCTGTGACTGTGTCTTACACTCAACATGAAACACTGAAGTATTAAATGGTTGTAGGTTTTAGTGTAGAAGAAAAAAGAACTGAAATTGAGATTAAAGATCACAGCTGGAAGAAGTTCAGGAAGAAAACTCAGAGTCACATTACTGTCCTGGGTAAACATGGTACCAGAGACAAGAAACTCTCTGAGAGAACTTGAAGGGAAACCATGGGAGCTTCCTCTTATCAGATTTGTAGAACAATAGAGACACAAAACAGCTTTATGAATTCCTCTTTGAGACTCACAAATGTTTTCCTTTCACACTAAGGAATATAGTAGGAGAAACAAGTTTGAAGATAGAGATACCATCATAATCCATAAACTTAATCACTAATATCCACTGATACTTGCAATAATTCTATTATTTCAAAAAATGCAGATTATGGGGGGAGGATGGGAAAGGGAAACAAAGGAGGAGGCTACAATGCTTGATAAGAAATGTACTCATTGGGGTGTGGGGGGAGGATGGGAAGGGATGGGAAGGGGAAACAAAGGAAGAGGCTACAATGCTTGATAAGAAATGTACTCATTATCTTGCCTATGTAATTGTAACCCCTCTGTACAGTATTGTCACAACAAAAAATAAATAAAAAATTTAAAAAAATGTACTCATTATCTTGCCCATGTAATTGTAATCCGTCTGTACAGTATTTTCACAATAAAAAATAAAAATATAAATATAAAACATAAAAAATAAAAAATAAAGAAAAAAGAAAAAATGCAGATGATGACACAGTAGTTTATAGACTCAGTAATTCATGGAATTTAAAATATGAGTCTGAAATGAAATTTTACTGTTTCATTTGGCATTCTTTCAACAACTGTAAACATAACAAAAGGCAATTTGTGTACCTACTCTTTGAAAAGTGATGTCAGAATGGGCACATCAAATAAGACTTCATATCCTGCCCCTGTTGCTGTTTTACCTTTTAACTTAAACCATGAGAGAACTGGGAAGATTTCTTTTACACCTTGATATTTACTAGGGAACTACTGAGTGTTGATTTTAATACACACATTGTTAAAATGAACAGAATACTCACCAATCTTTTGATCCTTACCATTAACAATGACAATGATGTCACGGAAGTCAATCTCCCCCCTAGCTTCCACTCTCCCTTCACATCTGTATATACCTTCATCACTTTTATTGATGTTGAGAATCTGCAGATTATTGTTTGCTAGCATAGCAAACCGATCTGGAAAATAAGCACAAGGGAGAAAATTATAGCAGTAATTGAATGCTAAGTCCCGTGTGCTCTAGAATGAGAAGAGTAGAAATATGACACTTGTCTGACACTATCAAAGTTTTCATCAACAAAAAAATTCAAATTTGAAAGTAAAATGTAATTTCATGACTTCAAGTTTTCCACTCTACCCTGCCTTGTTATGATATAAACATATTTTTTCTAAAATACATTCAAGACTTTATATCCACATGAAATGGTTAGGCTATTATTTTTCCCTAGTGCTTTTCCTGTAGAAATGACACAGAAAAGAACACCGCAGGCCGATTAGCTATCATTGGCCTGAAAACTTCTGATTTCAAACATGTCGCAGCTTGACTATGGAAAAAGGTTGAAAAATTGATTGAACATTTTGTCTTGACAGTAATTAAACTAACCATTTTTCATACACTTAGGAGGGCAGATAATATCATGAGGTTCAAGTTACATAATGTATGTAAAAATGTTTAAAATTTGAATTTATTTTTTGCTTCAGGCAAAAAAAAATATTTTGAAACAAATAGATTTGGCCAATCATGTATATCAAGGTTCTATTTTTGTGTCGGTGCACCATGCATTTATATAAAAACATAAAATAGTTTGGGGACTGAATTAACTGAAAACCTAAACTAATATTCTATCGGAGAAGCCTGTGGTTCATATCTACTTTGTATGCTTTGTTAAGTCTTTTCTCATTTATGATTATTGCATGTTTTTTACAGTGCTAATTTTTCTTCATTAGGGAAGAAAAAATTGTTTCTATCTAGTTCTATTTTGCAATATCCAGGCAATGTCTTACATTATCTTTTTCAATATAACTATAAAAATAATTAACCTTATTCATTGGCTGAGTATGGCAGTTAAGATACCTTGATTAGTAGGAGCAATACAGGCTTTGTTCAGTCAGGATTTCTATGTCAAGCATCATTTGCATTGTTTAAAGGAGCTAACTGCTTAGGATATTTATAGTCCAGAGTTTAATTTTATAACTTGTCCCATATTTATTTGCACATCTTCTATCTACTGGTTGAGAGTCTAGGGAAATCTTAATAGGTCAGTCATTTGGAATTTTACCTATTTGACCCTGCCTCCAGCCCAGATTATGGCTGTTCGTTTTTGAGATGAAGTGTCAAGGAATTATCTGTCTAGATCGACTTTGCACTGCAATCCTCTGGTTTATCCTTCTGCTTGGCTGGGATAATAAAGCATGGCTTTTTGGAGATCAACTGCCTACAATATACTTATTTAGTTAAGTTATTTTAAGGTTTTATTGTTTGTTTGTTTCTCATTCTATATCTAATCCTTCATTTGTATCATCTCTACATGTGGCAATCAATATCTATATTATGATGACTCCTACGATTTATTTGAACCAGCCTATTTCTATGTGTTCCATCTGTTTTATGAGTTTTATATGAATTTACTTACAATAATTTTAAGTATCTAATCTCTTAAAGTTTGACTTTAGTATTTTCACTTGCATTTCCATAGTCTGACTTCATGTCTTTGCAGTGGTTTTCTCTGGACCTAGAGTCTCAAGGCAATACTTGTTGTTTTGTGTTTAAAGATTAATACAAAATCATCACTGACATCTCATCTCCCACTGTCTGTGACACCAACTAAATCCTATATGCTTTCCTTTCTGTCACAACTTCATCTAAAGTCCTCTCCTCTCAGCAATTATTTCCACAGGATCTTAACTATTCTCACCATTAGCATTTTGTCTTGAATCTCATCCAAGTCATTCTCTTCACTGAAACACTAATATGCTGTTTCAAATATATATAATGCCATGTCACCGCCTTCATTAAACCAGTCAGTGATGTCTGTGCTGGAGAAACTCCAAATTCCTTAGCAGAGATGTCAAAGCCATGTTGAATAGCCAGAGCTTTCCTCCTTAGTTTTCCTTATTATAATTCCTTGAGTAATCAATCCTATACTTCTGTACTAGTGTCATAATTCAAGTAGTAAATACTCAAAATCTGGAGCAATACCAAACATAGATTCCTGTGTGTTTATTCAGGCTATCATTTGCCTTTGGGCCATTTCACCTGGTGAATTCTCTTTAGGGAGAGTCTTCTCCCTCAGTTGGCTAATGCCTGTTCATATGTAAAGATGCTGTTTTTCAACCTGACAGGTATCTTTCACAAGTCCTTCATTCCAGGCTGGTTAGGTCTTTTATTTTCATATAACATTACTGCAATTCCCTGACTGTACATTCTATGAAGTTTGTTTTCCACTGATACCTATTTATCTGTCACTTTAGGCTATTAGTATTTTGGAGGCAATGAATTTTGTTTATCTTAAGTGTAAACCAACAACATCTAGAATTCCAGAGGACTAAGTACTAAGTATTAAATGTATCCATGAATAATTATGAAAAATAGTATATATAAATGTAGAAAAATAAGTTTGTCTATATTTTAATATAGAAATATGTCAATTAAATATTAAGCAAAGCATTTACAAAGTACACAAAGTATATATATATATATATATTTACAAAGTATACAAAGTATATATATGTATATATATACATATATATATGTGTATAAATATGTATATATATATATATAATGAGCATTTCTGCATTTTGGTCCATCAAGGTGACTCTAAAAGTCTCAATATTGTGGGGAAAATGTTACCTTTTCTTCCTACACTTGTGGTGTAGGTCGAACATAGATTTCCTTTCAATGGGTAACATGGAGAAATTCTATCTAAACTATTCTGTAGCTATTTTAATTGTGGATATTATCTGCTTAGAACACTGAATGTTAATTCAGTAACAGAAAGTTTCTTAGATCCTCTACATTGTTATAAATCTCTACATTGAACTTTAACTCAGCAGCAGAAAGTTTTAGATCCTTTATATTATTATACGCCTCTACAGAAACTTTCAGAGCTTATGAACTTTAAATGATTCCATTGGCCGTTAGAAGAAATTATATGAGGTTAGTCACATAAAATATTCATACTTGTAAGTCCAGTTTAAATATACAAATGGTTTGCTAGTGAAGAATGAGACATGTTCTTCCAACATTACAAACCTAGAATAGTTTAAACTTCCTCACAATTCTATTGAATCCTTATATAATACAGAAAAAATCATTTTCACCACATTTTTCCAGCCATCCAACTTGCAATTATGTTTCATATAACCACTTCATCATTACATTCTACTTTGATAAAACTTATTCTCAATATTAAAAAAATCTTGATATAAATGAATAAAGCAAATGAAACTTTTCACTATAAATAAATTTGTTCAGAATGTAAAACCAAGCCAAATAGTTTATTTACTTCAAAGATATCTATACATGGTTACTCTGTTATCTGTAATTTAAAGCCTGAGATTGAAATTGATCCATGGTTTACAGATGGATAATCATTTAACAGCATAACAGTTCAAAAATATCCATTAATGATTCAGGAACATGGAAAGAACTGGAAACAAATGCAAATTAAAATAACATCACTTCTGCATGTGATGCTTGGGGAGAAATGCCTAAATTAAATCACATAAACATCAGTCCTCCATCACTATTATTCATTTCTATAAGTTTTTGTTGAGGATGTCTATTCTACACATCCTTTAATTCTTGAAATAAAGTATATGTGAAGCTTGATATTATAATATCTTTAAAAGTTTGGATATGATCTTGTAACTCTTATAACTCAACTGCCATATATTATTGAATGGAACAAGTCTGAAAATATATTACACAATTTACTCAAATAAATTCTGTAAGAAACTATGAATCAGTTACACTAAATAAGGAAGTGGGAAATTAAATATTAGTTCTCATTAACTTATGAGAGAAGCAATGAGAGTTTGACAATTATTAACAATCATTGAATATGCCAAGCTAAGAAAATTATCTTAAAATTAAAAAAAGACTATTGAATACAATCATAGTATATTATATCTATATTTAAAAGAGAATCTCTTCACTATTTATCCTATATGCTATAGAAATTTCTCCTCTTGGAAATACAAAAAGGAATCATTTAGATTGAAAAACACTTTAAAAGATTCAATTATTCTGTACTTCCCTGCAATGCAGGTGCATTGAAAGTATTCTAAATTGAAAATGCTCCCTGTGCACAATGGGAAAGGACCATAATGTCAGCAAATTATGTTTTCAGTTTCTGATATCATAGTATTCTGAGATTTTAGCTCTGTCTGGATCAAAACCATGCAGATGAATCAAGTAAATGTTTTATATTTTAGTCTTTTCTCTGTAGACATCTAACCATAATATTTAGAATACACTGTTATTTTTGAAAGGACAGCCCAGAATATTAAATTAGATTCATACAGATACTATCTTATGTTTACCAATAGTGAGCTTTTGAACTCATGTTTGAATGATAGTATTTAGAATCTGTGAGCACCGGTTTACACTCCTTTACTTACTTAATATTGAAAACAAGGGTCATAATCTTTCCTTAAATATTGCTGGGCGCCATTGGCTCAGGCCTGTACTCTACCAATTCAGGAAGCTGGGATCTGAGGATAACAGTTGGAAGCCAGCACAGGCAGAAAAATCCCTGTGAGACTCTTAGCTCCAATTAACCACTCAAAAAGTAAAAGTGGTGCTGTAGCTCCAGTGGTATCCTGCTAGTCTCAGCAAAAAGAGGCTCAGAGAAAGTGCTCAGTGCCCCACAATCAACAATAAATAAATAAGCAAATACATAAATAAATGGCATGTAAGCCAGTTCTTTTTTTAATATACAGATAAAAGCTTCTGGCAATACTGTATACTAAAGTACTGGCTAAACTTCTATGCTAATCTATGCTAAACAACTATGGCTATGCTATGGTATTTTACAAAAACTATAGTAAAGGTGTAGAATTAGTCCTAAAGTCAATCAATTACCAAACTTTAACACACTAAGTTCTTAAAGTAATTCTTGACTTTAGGGTGGAACACTGCATTTTCCTTCCATGTTTTATTTGTGAGAGAGTCTCAGGCCTGCCAACGTAAAAGGAGGAACTAGCGACCTTATTGCCTAAACTGTTAGAATTCTGGGATTATCTCTACATGCAATCTCATCCACCGAGCTCTACATTTTCTTTTGTAAGCCACACTAATAAAGTAATACTTTTTAGAACGTATAACTTAAGAGAGTTACCAAAATACTAACTGTCGGAAATGGCGGTGAGTTCCTCATTATGATACAACCAACTAACAGCTGGTGCCGGTGAACTGCTAACTCTGCAGACCACTTCAGCATCCTCTCCTTGCTTGAATTCTTGAGGAGAGATAACTTCTTTGAACGTGAGCTTTTCTGCATTGAGAAAATTTTTAAAAAGGAAATAAAAGAATTATCTTTTTGTTTTCTCAGTAAGATACCGCAGATTCGACAATTATCCCTGCTATGGTAATTAGGTAAACCTCTATCTTTTAAAAACTCAATAATAACATTCCTTCTCACTGAGAATCACCTGCAGAGTCCTTTCAGTGGGACAGGATGGCCTACCTGAGCTGGAGTCAACACCAAAACTCTTTTTTGGGGGGTCTTTTTGGGGGCTTGAACTCTGGGCCTGGGCGTTGCCCTCAGCTATTCAGCTCAAGGCTAGCGCTCTACCACTTGAGCCACAGCACCACTTCCGGCTTTTTTCTTTTTTTCTGCTTATGTGGTGCTCAGGAATCGAACCCAGGGCCTCATGCATGTAAGGCAAGCGCTCTACCACTGAGCCACCTTCCCAGCCCCAAAACTCTTACTCTAGTGTTTCTTCCTCCTTTTCCTGCAACATGAACATAGAATGTCTTCCTTCCATTTCCTTGAAGATTCCCCATTTTTACCAGTCTGGGACATCTGCAATCGCTTAACTTCATTTAGATTTCTAGCAAATGTTACTGGCAAAAGAGCTATATGTCTCTCCACTTCAATGTTCTCTATTTGTCTGTGTCTATACCTTCTTCTATAAAATTTTTAATATATATTTTATTGTAAAGATACTGTACAGAGGAGTTACAGTTAAATGAGTAAGGTAATGAGTACATTTCCTATCGAGTATTGTTAACCGCTCCTTTGTTTTAATAAACAAGGGGTTAACAATGTTATATAACATTTTTTAGCATGGATATATGACACCTATTCATTGCTTATGGATTATTATTTATTGTCTATAATTAGAATAGGGCTTGAACAATTAAGTAGATGGACAGGATTCTCTATATTTGCTGAGGACACCAAAGCAATGCAATAATTTGGAAATGTAAATATTGGCCTTATCAAATGAAACTCGAAAATATTCTCTTTGCATCATTTTAACAAAGGTATGTTATTTTTATACAAATGCAGTTATTACATGAAGGTCTAAATCAATTTTTGTAATCTGTGAAATATGTAGTAGTGGTATAATTTAGTTACATAGTTAACGAAGAAAACAAAAAATATTCTTGTGGTATTCCACTAAAAGAATCGGTAATTCTATGTGTTTATAGTTACCTGTGATCTAGTATCTATTCTAGGATTCGTTGAGGCAAGGTACAGAGTTCATTCTTCCCATTTTTATTTTATTTTATTTTATTATCGGTTATAGGGCTTGAACTCTGGGCCTGGGCACTGTCTCTCAGCTCTTCAGCTCAAGGCTAGCGTGCTACCACTTGAGCCACAGTGCTACTTCCGGCTTTTTCTGTTCTTGTGGTGCTGAGAAATCGAACCCAAGGCTTCATATGTGCAAGGCAAACACTCTACCACTGAGCCACCTTCCAGGACCTCCATTTTTATTTTTAAACACATTAAATTTTGCCTGAACTCATTGTAAAGATGTACAGTTGTAGGCAAAGTCAGACAAAAATGCAAGACTTACGGTAAATTTCCAAAACTACTGTTGCTTCTTGTGTCTGTCCTTTGGCATCAGTTGCTTGACAACGATATATCCCTGCATCTTCTATGTTAGCATTGTAGATGATCAATCGTGACCTGAGGCTTTCCTTCTGCAACATGACCCTCTGTGTTGAGACGATTTTCTCGCCTTGTGGATTATACCAATCTATACTCTCAGGTTCACCAATTGCTGTAAATAGCCATGAGAAAGAAATGTTTGAAAATGTGTTTTAGGAGATTCTTTTGGCAGTGACATTTAGTATAATGTTACAATTTCAATTATTTAGACATGAATGTAAATAGAAGAGTGGAAATCTGAAAATTATACAAAATTTAAAGTAAACACAAATGTTAACACAAATGTTCTTCTTTGTTTAATCTACATTTAGGACTCAATCAAGTCGAAGTAAGTAAATGAGAGAATAAAATAGTCCTTAAGAAATTTCCTAGTGTTTAAACTGTAAGAATTACAAATTATTTTTAGTAATCTATGGATTATCATTACACTTTAGAAGCAAAAATCCTAGCTTAGATATAAACTCAAGCTGATATGTGTATAGAAACATAGATATTTAATATGATTTCACATGTTCAAGCTCTTGAGTTAAGAGAAAATATTTTTTTCTTGATAAAGCAAAACTTCCAAAACTTCAAGGATTTAAAATAAAAAATACTTTGGTCTTCAATAATATTGAATTTTGTGTTAATTTCCCAAGTGGTTAAAATAGATATATATGTATATATATATGGCCAATTACCATTTTAAAATGAAGTCCTAATGTCTTTTCCCAATGGAAATGAGTGCTGTTATCATTTTAAACAAAAATTATTAACTATTTAATCACATGGTAATTGGAATATATTGAAATGATACTTATCCTGCTGGGCAATTACAGCCAAATCAAATATTTATTTAAATTCTCCAATTCAGTGTCTAGGTTATTAAGCACTTCATAAAAGCCAAAGCTTCTGTTTATGATTTTAGTAACCAAAGGAAATATTTTATCTAATTAATCCTACATTAATTTGTGGCACCAACATAAAAATATTAGCACAAATATTTTATTTTATTTATTTATTCATTTTTTGTCAGTCGTGGGGCTTGAACTCTGGGCCTGGGCGCTGTCCTTCAGCTCTTCAGCTCAAGGCGAGCGCTCTACCAATTGAGCTACAGCGCCACATCCGGTTTTCTGGTGGTTTATTGGAGATAGGAGTCTTATGGTCTCTCCTGCCCGGGCTGGCTTTGAACCGCAATTCTCAGATCTCAGCCTCCTGAGTAGCTAGGATTACAGGCGTGAGCCACCAGCGCCCGGCTAGCACAAATATTTTAAAAGAATAGTATATAAAGTCAACTGTATCAGCAGAACTATCTGAATGAAGTTATTTTTATTATTTCATTTTCTACTTTTGATATCAAATTAGCATACTAAAGCAAATATAAAAAAGGAAAGTTTGGACAGGATTCTTTGGGGGGGGGGTTATTTTGTCTATTATGGTGCTTGAATTCAGGATGTGGGTGCTGTACCTGAGCTCTTCTGTTCAAGGCTAGCATTCTTCCACTCTGAGGCACAGCACCACTTCTGGTTTTATGGGGGTTAATTTTACAGAAGAGTCCCAGTGACTTTTTTGCCCTAACTAATTTTGAACTGTGATCTTCAGATCTCAGCCTCCTGAGTAGCTAGAATTACAGGCAAAAACGACTGGCACACTGTTAAGATAGAATGTTTGATAGATATTATTTATGTCATCTGTGGGTTTTAGAAAAAAAGTTCCCAAACCACAATACTGACCAGATAATGTGCTTAAGGAATGGGCATTTTGTTTTTAATTAATCCTTCTGTAGAAAAGATGATAACATAATAATTTGCTTAAACTTCATCTTAATTTTAAACTAGTCTCATCTTCACCTATAAATTAAATAGGATATTCTAGGAAATATTTAGGTTATTTTACAATGTCATTGTAGCATAGAATCCTATTATTATGGTGAGTTTATTCTCCATCTTCATAGAAATAATTCCCTTTTAAAGTCACTAATAAATAATAATTTCCATCTGTATTTTTTAGAGTTATAATACTGGACTTTGGGGAAATTGTTATCATCATTTTTTTAATTAAATATTGCTGGAAAAGTCAGTTTGCTTTAAATGGCGCATTCTGATTTTGATCACCGATTATGTATATCATCCAGTGTAAATGTTATACACATTTATTCTATTTAAAATAAATATTTAAGGTATCTAGAACTTTTAAATATTATGTACACTGTTATTGTAGAAAAAATATATGTAAACATTCTCATTTGTATCATTTACCACATTATTACTATTAAATTCTTATTTTGCAGCTATAATAAATATAAGTAAGATCACTTCTTTAACTGTTTTTATTAAATATTTTATATAAAAAGAAAGGAAAGATGCAGTTTGGTTTCTTATTAAGAAATTCAGTAAACTGAATCATTTTTATTGTGAATTTATATATGTTATGATTTAGTGATAGGGCTGAACTTAAATAGTTCCTTCTATTCTCATAATATATATTATATACTTTGTTATTTGTCCTTACATAAGAAAACTAAATATGTATGCACATATTTGTTTCATTGGTGATAAAAATGAATGAAAATCAGTAACCTACACTGGGTGTGTTGATACATACTTGTAATCTCAGTATGAGGGAAGATGATGTGTGCTGATGCCCTAGCTGCATAGTGATTTCTATTCTACCTTCAGCTAAGGAGTGAGACTTTGTTTCAAGAAACACAAAACAATCAGCCCCCTACCAAAGAAAACAGTTTATCTACATTCTTCTGACAAAATACACTGTATTTGGCAAATCATTTTGTTGCTCTGTAAGTTTTCATTTCACCACATAGAAATCCTGTGCTAATGATGTATTCATTCAGATCTTTACTGGTAGGATATATGAAGGATCATATACTACTGTTTTTTGCCATGAGATATGATGTTTACATCTATACTCCAAATACTGTTTAGAACTAGGTTGGTAAAACAAATTTCTACTTTTTTTCTTTTTTTTCTTTTCCTTTCTTTGTGTGGTATGTGTATGGTGTGAATGTGTGTGTTTGTGTGTGTGTGTGTGTGTGTGTGTGGTTTATTCTTTTTTGAACCAAGAGTTTATGCAAGCCAGGCAAGGACACAGCTATTGAGTTAATTCCTCCGCCTTAAAATTGACTTTCACAATGCACTTTATGTCAAGAACACTTGTTGGAATCAGCTCTAGAATTGCTTTAGTGTAATCAGAAATTAAAACAATACTCTCATAGCAATTTTACCATGACATGAAGGCCCTTGGATATTTTATACATAAAAGCTTATCTTCATAGATGAGCTTTAGATTAATCTCAATAGATATAAATATGATCATCTGAAATGTCTATATTGTAGCAAAGTAGATGTTAAGGTACAAGTTTCATACAGGTCTTCTGCAGAAATTATGAAACTTAGTTATTAAACTAAATTTGGCTGAGATAATTTATTACATGGATCATATGTATGATATATTTGAGTAGAAGTCAAGAAGATAATAAAAAGTTTTCTTGACTGAGTAAATATCTAATATTTAAGTGAATATTTGCCTCTCAAAAGGGTAGAATTTTTCACCCTATACTTTTCAGTCACATAACTATAATTTCATGTACCATATGTAATTCATTCATTTCTTATTTACAAAGACAGTTGTTACAATCATTATGTTGATTCCAATATCTTTGCTTAGACAGAAATAATATTTAATTTCAATTTCTTATTGCAAAAATCATACTTTATAATAAATGATTTAAATAAATGATTTAGCTTTAGCAGTCAAATTATCACAAAATGTTATAACACTCATAATGTTTACTATGCAGAAAGTAGCTATTAAAATTTAATATAAGTATAAATGCAAAAAGATGTTATTATTAGAGAATTAAATTTTCAACTACCCTTATTCAATCAGTAAACTTCATTCAATGGTAAACACAAAGCATGCTACCTGAAATTATATGAAGAAATACGTACCTGTACATGTGAAGAATTTAGATTCTCCCACACTAAGCTCTACTTTGCTAAGTGAAATTGTCACTTGGAGAAGAGCTGAAAAAAATATTTGGGTACAAATTAATTGTGATTGTAAATGAACTTTAAGAAAAAATATGTAGGCCAGCTTTTGCAAATAGCAATACTATCCCTTAAATTTTCACTCCCCATAATGGCAAAAGATATTTTTCTACATTATAAACAAATATCATACTTGGTAAAATATTACATTTTTCATAACATGCTAAAGAACATTTGTCTAAATTATTATTTTTTTAATTCTGTTAGGTGCAAAGAAGGATGACATACTCAGAAAACAGATCTTCATTTACAGGCTAGGTCTTGTATGTATAATCAAAATACCTAAATATAATTCTTGCTGAACAGTTGTAACTTTATTGAAAGAGTAAATCCTATCCTGTCTCTCTAATAATTAAAATATATCTGTTAAATAACTACAATTTAATTATACAATAAAATATTTCTTTGTAACATAGGCACACACAAAGGAAAGGGGAATGAGTATGGACATTCACGAGATAAATGAGTCTTGTCAAAGCCTCCAGATAATGGCAATAAAACATAGGGGAAGCTCACTGCCCTACCAGTTTTCTGTTCTATTTATTGCTAAAGCAACTGGCTAAGGTAGTTTCCATACTTAATGATAGGCATAGCTTTGATGATATTACAGAAAAGATAATGTAATCCCTTTCCAAATCCTATCCCACAATCTATTTTTTCTTAGAAATAGTTGATCTGTCAATAATGCAATGAAAGTATAAGACTAAATGTAGACAAGTATGAAACCAAGATTATAAGCCTGGAATTTAGCAATTTAAAAAAACCAAAAGGCCTTTTTTAGGTTAGCATGGGTTAAAAGGGATAGTATCCAAGTATAGAAGCTCCAGACTTAGTATAGAAGCTCTAATGATTAGGCACTAATCATTAGATTAGGAACTACTCTAAGTCAATGGATAAAACAGAATCAATAAATCCTCTAGCAAAAATAAATTGCAAGGAAGTTGCCCCAATTAACATGAGCAGGAGAAGGTGTTTTCTTTAGAGGACTCAGGGTTCTATCATATCCCAGTGTGAGATTTTAACTGTGAACATGTGTTTTCTAGCAAAGCCAAAATAGCTAAATTAGAATACGACCAGCCATGCACAGGGCACCCTGGAAAATGGTCAAGGAAAAACATCATCTCCTTGTAAATCACAAGCTGTAGCCTTTGGCCACAACTTTTATATTCTTTTTTTTGTCTAAATTCACACACTATTCTCTTAAAGGCAAAAAGTGAAATAAGACAAAATAAATGGACTCATAAAATTTCATCAGATGTAAAGCATAGGGGTATGTATACTGTAAATATAGAATTAAATAAAATGTAGAATCAAAACCAGTTTAATAGGTAGAAGAAAGGCTTTCAGATGCTTTCATCATTATGTAGGTTTGAAGAGATGAATTTATATATTACAGATGCATTACACTATCATATGTATTATATTATCATATATATTATATGTATGTATGCATATCTATATACATTACACAGTATATACACAATTCAAGCATCACACATGGTCCCAGAAATATATACAAATTTAATGATGGATCTGTTAGTATTAATGTAATTGTAAAGAAAAGGTTCAGAATAATGTTCAAGAAATACATGTCACTGTTGTTTTAAGTCTATAAAATATGTTTTTTTCTATTATCTTTCCTGTATTTGATTGATGCATTTTCTGTCAGAAACATCTCTTTTTGCAATTTGAGGCCTTAATTTTCCTCAATACCGATAATATCTGTCATATTAGTGTGACTCAACACCGGTTCAAGGGAATAGTATTTCGGAAGAAAATTACAAGCATGATCACAAGTTCAAAAAAGAGGAAGAAACAAATTGAAACACAGAGAAAAAAATCTTAAAATGTGAATAATGCTAGTTCCCAGTGAAAAAAAATCAGAGAATTTCTTTTCATTTAATGTAGTAATTTGTTTCTTGGTGAATTTAGTTTAAGTTGTATGGGGTCCAAAGTTTCAAAATGCAGAAGAAATCAACGTTTCTGAAAATGTAAGAAGTTTGAATCTGAAGAGATACAGGTGATTATTGCTATCAAGAGCTTTACTTGGTGGCAGGAATTTAATAATTTGGAGAACACTTGAGTATGCCTAGTCATATAAACAAAAGAGGCAAGAAGAAGCATTGGGTCAGAAGAAAGAAAGTGTTGGTATATTTGCCATTCTCTTTTATTCTTTTACTTTCTATTTTCAGATACCAGTTTTTTAAATTTATTTAAGTTAATTTAATTTTTTATTGTGAACATACTGTACAGAGGGGTTACAATTACATGGGCAAGATAATGAGTACATTTCCTATCAAGCATTGTCAGATACCATTTTTTGCAAATCTGTAATTTCTTGAGTACATGGCATTTAAAATAGCATTACTGTCTTTTGTAGAAATAAAGCTATCAGATAATCTGAGCTGTTTCTGCTAATTGTAATTAAACAAATATGGTGTCTAAATTTAGTGTACATTTACATTTCAAAAGAATTCTAAAAAAATAAACTTGACCATTGTTGGTTGTTTAAAAGTTGAATGAAGGTCTAGATACTTTTACACTGATATGCTGATGAGTGCAATGAAGTACATTTATTCTCTAGTGATAAAGTGAAATTCACTATAAAATTAATTAGTGCATATTTTCAACACTTGGTAGTTTTTCACAAGTTATCAATACAATCACTAACTGGAACCATATTTTCCTTAGATATTAAAGAAAATAGGAATACTGGCATATTATATTGTCATCTGTATTTGAAATTATAAAGACCAAAAGAAACAAAGTTATTACTTCACTACAATTTCCAAAGGGCACTTTTGTTTAAGTTACCTCTACAGATTTGCTAATGTATGTGGATCTCAGATAAAATCTAGAGCACTAAAATTCAAGTCATGCCCTGATTATTGCTTTAGTGGTTTAACATTCAGTATTTCTTGTGATTAGTCTTGACCTATGACTGTCTTCAAATGACTAATTTTGGTCCCAAATGTCAGAAGAAAACTAAAGCAGTTTCTCATGTCAAAAGTTGTATTTAGAGAAAATTAGAAAGGTATGACATTTTTGACTTTTGTCCAGCTCATCTGACTTCTTCTGTCTTGGACATTACAATTAGATTCAAAGAAACCAATGTGGACAATGACATTTACTCTTTACATCATTCAACACAAATAAAAATTTTGTAACTAAAACTTGTTTGTGGTTTGAGATTAAAATGGCATTACATAATGGCAAACTACATAATTTGGATGATTCATTCTTTTTTGCTGAATTTTTCAAAAAACTTTCAATGCATTATAATGCAGTGTTTACTCATAGAAAGGTTACAATTTTAACAAAAAGTATACCAAAGGAGTCTGGGCATTGTTAGAAGGAGAAACATTTAAATCATGAGATTAATTCGAAGATAGTGCAAAAAGAAATCCCTAGGAGTACCTACCAGACAGTGTAGGTACTTGACAAACATACAACTTCAATCTCAATCCAATACAGTCCTCAAATCCTTCTTTATCAAACAATCCCACAAGTTTCCTTGAAATAAGCACTAGTTAGTAGGTTCGGGGAAAATCTACCGAAGAGTGTAGCCTGTAATGTCTCAGTTCATATTCTTCCGTTTCCTAAGTCTCTTGTGATTTTGGATATTGTATCAGAGAATCTTATTTAATTTGTGCTTATTTTAAGGAGCTAAGTAAATCTCATATCCCTGTGGTTTGTAGCTCAATGATAACTAACAGCACCATCCGGCTTCCTGGGTAACTCAAAGAGCAAAAAGTGTCTAGAGGGGCCAGATCACCACTCCAAGACTAGGAGTTTGAGTTCCTTCTGCTGATGACTTTATTTTCAGTGCAGATAAGAGCTTGCAAGGCCAAGCAATCAGGGTAAAGGACTTCCTCCCATCGAGATTCTGCATCAGTCACCCTGGCCTTGACCAGCTTTCCATTGGCTTTTCAAAGCCAGGGCATCGCAGTATAACCCTTGTCCCTGGAATACTTCTCCAGAGCAGTAATTGATTAGACCCCACAGAGGTGTGAGCCACAATAGGGAACAAATCAGAGCGGTTAAGGCAGGCTTGGAGAGTCCTGCAGGCTTCAAGAAACCTGTGATTGAGTGTGGGGCCTGGTAAGTCTAAAGATCTTGATAGTTACACAGCTCTCTGGGGGGAGAACCTTTATTAACCCCTGCACCAGGCACCCCAGTAGCCCTTCCGCCTGCCCGGAGTTCTGCTTATCTTTTTCTTTTTTAAAATGTTTCATTCTTAGGTAGAAAAGATATGTTGCCTTTGAAAAAGTGTGATTGTTTAGACTGCCTATAAAATAGACTGCTTATAACATCCAGTGGAAATTCACGATTGAATTGTTTTAGAGAAAGAGCTAAACAATCTGAAGATCAATAAATATTTTCAAAAGAGATTCTCATTTAAGGAAAAAAAATGATTCCATTGTGAATGACTCTCAATAAAGCACCTGTAAACACAATTTTAAACTTGGTTGTATTACTTTAGTAGGTACATTTTATAAGTCAGTCTTAGATGGTATACAAAATAATAGCCTTACTGTCAAGGGATTTACAATTCATTGGGGAGTGTAGTAAAACTGCATAAAATAGAAACAATAAAATGCCAATTTTGTTAATTATGAAATTCATGATGAAATCTTTGCAATGTTCTAAGACCAAGACTATGAGCTAGATGTTATATAAATGGGGCTGGGAAGGTGGCTCAGTGGTAGAGCGCTTGCCCTGCATGCCTGAGGCCCTGGGTTCGATTCCTCAGCACCACGTAAGCAAAAAGAAAAAAGCCGGAAGTGGCGCTGTAGCTCAAGTGGTAGAGTGCTAGCCTTGAGCTGAAGAGCTGAGGGACAGCGCCCAGGCCCAGAGTTCAGGCCCCACGACCGGACCCCCCCCCAAAAAAAAGATGAAAAGAGGAGCTGGGAAGGTGGCTCAGTGGCAGAGCACTTGCCTTGCATGCCTGAAGCCCTGGGTTCGATTCCTCACAC